CTTCTCCCTGCCTGCCTCCCTTCCTCCCTTCCTTCCTTCCTCCCTTCCTCCCTTTCTCTTATTACATTTCCGATTATAGTATGCCAGTAGTGTCTGCTGGATACCTTCAATATCTTCCTGTTTCTTCTCTTCAATATATTCTCTGTTACCTCTCCCTATTATGTTTCCTATTATATAACCTCCCGTTTCCTTGTGTCTGTATCTTCCCTATTATCCTCCTTGTTATGTAATCTTCCTCCTCATGTAGATCGTCATCTGTGCAAGCAGCGTCTACTGGACATCGGACGTGACCGAGGCGATTCGCAGCCCTGGTGGACTGACACGCTACCTGGAGACGAGCAACAGACAGATCTCGGAGACGGTGGAGCTCGTCAGGGGCAAGCTGTCTCTCGGTTCCCGCATCACCCTGGGGGCTCTCATCGTCATTGACGTACATGGTGAGAAGCTTGTGCGTGCGCGTGTGTGTGCGTGCGTGCGCGTGCGTGCGCGTGTGTGCGTGCTTGTGCGTGATTGCGCGTGTGTGCGTGTGTGCGCGTGTGCGCGTGTATGCATGCTTGTGCGTGCGTGCGTGTGTGCATGCTTGTGCGTGATTGCGCGTGTGTCCGTGCGTGTGTGCATGCTTGTGCGTGCACGTGTGTGTGCGTGCGTGCGTGCGTGTGTGCGTGCGTGTCAGGTACACGTGCTGATCGCGGTGTGGTTGCAGCACGTGACGTCGTCGCTAAGCTTGCTCAGGATAACATCACCAACGTCAACGACTTTGACTGGATCAGTCAGCTGCGCTACTACATGGACGCGGACGGCTGTGCAGTGCGCATGATCACCACCGAAATACGCTATGGATACGAGTATCTAGGCAACAGTGGGCGTCTGGTGATAACGCCGCTGACGGATAGGTGCTACCGGTAAGCACGTTCTCTTGTTGGCTGTGTTTGTAGGTAGTTTGTCGTGTGTTAGTTTATCTAGTTTCCCAGTTACCTCGTTAACTGTCGCGTTTAGCTGAGTAGAGATTTTTCGCCATCAATTTGGTAGCATATCCGCGGGAATTTATCTCCGGAGCATGTTTTAGCAACGCGTTGCGAGATGAGATGGAGGCGCTGGCGTAATCTCGGTCTTTATTTTCACGTAGTACCCTCATGGGGGCGCTGAAGCTCAACCTAGGTGGCGCTCCCGAGGGGCCGGCGGGAACGGGGAAGACAGAGACGAGCAAGGATCTTGCGAAGGCAGTTGCTAAGCAGGTATGCAGCTAAGCAGGTATGCAGCTAAGCAGGTATGCAGCTAAGCAGGTATGCAGCTAAGCAGGTATGCAGCTAAGCAGGTATGCAGCTAAGCAGGTATGCAGCTAAGCTATGTCAGTTAACATGTGTTTTACGACGCTGCGGCACTTTGTTACTAAGCATAGTTTTTAGAATGCCCATATGACAAAGCTGATTGGCTAGAGCTACCTGTGAGCAACTCCAGGTGAATATTTTACTACGGTAGCCCAGCTGCACCTGATTAGAGCTGGTAATAGTAGCATCACAATCAACCCCAATGAGTGTTTGTTCCTGTGTCTTTATATGTGGTTAAAAGTTTACAGACATTGAACATAAAGGCCACTGTGTGGTAGTACAATCATTGTGAAACTCAAGCAGTGTGTGTTCCTGTGTCTGTCTTTACGTGTCGTTACTGGTGTACAGTCTTATAAGCTGTGTATAAATCCCCACTCAAGAGAAAACAACAACAACTAAATTACAGTTCTCCTTCATAGATAGGTGTCCGTTCTAGAGGAGTGTCCTTTATAGACAAGTGTCCGTTCTATAGAGGTGTCCTTTATAGAAAGGTGTCCGTTCTATAGAGGTGTCCTTTATATATAGGTGTCCGTTCTAGAGGAGTGTCCTTTATAGACAGGTCTACGTTCTAGAGAGGTGTTTGTTAATGCAGGGTTGACTGTATTTACAGTGTGTCGTGTTCAACTGTTCCGATGGCCTCGACTACAAAGCTATGGGCAAGTTCTTCAAGGGACTAGCACAGGCCGGTGCCTGGGCGTGCTTCGACGAATTCAACCGCATCGAGTTGGAGGTAAACTTGTCTGGACAGCTAACAAGCTTCCATTACTACCGATCAGCCAGAAACCACAGTGAATACGTGTAGTGGAATGCACGCGTCTCTGTGTGTGTATGCACGTGTGATTACGTCTCGGTTTATGCAACGTACGAAGCACGCGTTAACGTGGTTGGTTTGCTGTCTAGTAGAGTAGCACTGGTTGTTCTGTTATGTTGTGGCAAACCTGGGGTCTGTTTCCACTACTTGCCAGAAACAATATTAGTCTTAATATTAGTCTTAGCATTAACTTTATCTCGTAGATCGTTGACATAAACATGGAAAGGTTACTACGAGGAAAAGTACATTTTAAGACGAATGGTAGGGTTAATTTTTGTTTCTGATTTTGCCCCTGATACCATGTATTGTAGCTCGCACGCCTGCACCCATGCATGCGCGCGCACGCACGCATGTCCACCCGCACGTGTTTAATGTTGGTTTTCACGGCCAGGTATTGTCGGTGGTGGCACAGCAGATTCAGAGCATACAGAGAGCCATAGCACAGCACGTTGACAAGTTCATGTTCGAAGGTATATATATATATACACGCTCTCTCGCCATCTCTCACCGGCACTGACCTAGCTGTCCAGAGCCACTAGAGTGGTTCACGAACCATCCTTGCTTCAGATGACAGCATATCACTGACACACACACTCCCTGCGTGCTTGATACTCGAGGAGTTTTACACGGTGAGGTGGTCAGGGACACGTTGTTAGAAACATCGTATGTTGTTATGATGTCCTGAGTTTAATATGGCGTCAGTTTTGAGGTGAAGTGCAGTGAAAACGTCATAAAAGCTTCAGATGCACGTAGTCATAAGGATTTATTTATTATGTTTCTGTAGGAGATCTTCTCTTAGAGATTTCTATGAGAGATATCTATAGAGACTGCTATTAGGTTTTCGATTAGTATTCTATTATAACTTTATTATGTCTATTAACTTTTTTTTAAACCTCTATACAGACTGTTGGATATTCCAGCAGGATTTCCGTTAAGGGCATTGACTATAGCTGTTCTAATAGCTTTTACGAGCGCCTTCATTAGACATTTTACGAGGTCATCTAATATGAGGTCCTCATATAATTAGATGACATAAAATATGAGTCTAAAATATATCAGACTTTGAGATATATTTTGAGAGACTTCTGCATGCATGTACCACGGTGCTGTGGGGCGTGATGGAACGCGCGGCTGGATGTGGTTTATGTGGGAATACTGTATGCATGATCGTGGTGTCATGGTGGTTGCAGGCACGGAGATATCCCTGGATGACTCATGCACGATGTTTATCACGATGAACCCGGGCTACGCAGGACGCTCAGAACTACCCGATAACCTGAAGGTAGGCAGACGATGTCACACACCAGTGACACCTGTGTTAGTCAGTAGCTGTTACATACATGTGCGCGTGTTGTGAAGGTAGACAGACGATGTCACACACCAGTGACACCTGTGTTAGTCAGTAGCTGTTACATACATGTGCGCGTGTTGTGAAGGTAGACAGACGATGTCACACACCAGTGACACCTGTGTTAGTCAGTAGCTGTTACATGTGCGCGTGTTGTGAAGGTAGACAGACGATGTCACACACCAGTGACACCTGTGTTAGTCAGTAGCTGTTACATGTGCGCGTGTTGTGAAGGTAGACAGACGATGTCACACACCAGTGACACATGTGTTAGTCAGTAGCTGTTACATGTGCGCGTGTTGTGAAGGTAGACAGACGATGTCACACACTACGCCACCAGTCAGTTAGTAGCTGGTACACGTGAGTGTGTTGTTTTGAGACCGCGTGAAAAGATGTTTTCGTTCATGAGCAAAACGTTCATGACGAAACAAAA